GCTCCAAGGGGCGCTGTGGGCCGAGCGCCCGGGGTTCGGGCGAGGGCGGCGGGGTGGGGTAGGGCGGGTCTGGGGCGGATTCGGGAGGATGCGAGGAGGGAGGACACTGGAGGACACACTATGGAGAGAAGGCAGTGCAGAGGGCGGACGCTGTGGAGGGAGGGCAGTGTGGAGGGAGGACACTGGAGAGTGCTATGGAGGGAGGGCAGTGTGGAGGGGGGGCAGTGTGGAGGGAGGACACTGGAGGGAGGGCAGTGTGGAGGGAGGGCAGTGTGGAGGGAGGACGCTGCGGAGGAGGCTGAGGCCCAGGCTGCGATGGTGCCTGCAGGTTTCTCCCCAGGGCTTCCTGGGGCAGAGGCTGGGCCAGCCTGGGTTGTGGGTTGACTGCTTGCACTGAGGGCCGCTGACGATGCCTGCGGGGTGCACCCTCACCATCACTCCCCTGCCCTGCGTGAAGGAGCCCTCCCCTACACCCCCTATCACCTCCAACCCCTTGGTGAGGGTGAATGCCCCCCCATGGAGAGCCCTCCCCCCACCCTGGTGCCTGAGGGTGAGCCCGCCCCTCTACTCTCCCCTCCCCCATGGACAAGGTCAAGCCCTCCACCTCCTCCCACCGGGCCAGCCTCTCCCCAGTGAGGAAGGGAGACTGCCGAAACTCCTCCCCCACTCTCCCCGTCCATTGGGAGAACACTTGCAGTGGGTGCCCAGGAATCTTCTTGGGCACCTTGCAGAAAGGCAAGGTGGATCCTGAGACCCAGGTGGACACTGAGCCACACAGGAAGTGTTTCACTGGGCACAGGCTGTCAGTCTCTGATCCACCTGTAACTGCAGAGGCCCGGGGACGGCTGTGTGGAGAAGCCCTGGGAGCTGCAGCTGCCTGGCAAACACGGCCCAGCGTTGATAGTCAAAACCCTCATTTCCTAGTTAAAGCCAGCACTCTTTTAGTGGCTTTTAAACATGGCAATTAAAAACTACTGGATGACACCAGCGGCTTACACCTGTAATCCTAGATAGGAGGCTGAGCTCTGAAGATCACAGTTCACAGCCAGCCTGAGTCAAAATTCCATGAGACTCTTACCTCTCGTTAACCACCTAAAAGCTGGAAGTGGAGCTGTGG